TGTCCTTTGTAGGGACATGGATGCAGCTGGAAACCATCATTCGTAGCAAACTATCACAAGAACAGAAAACCAAACACCGCATGTTCTCACTCATAGGTGGAAACTGAACAATGAGGTCACTTGGACTCGGGAAGGGGAACATCACACACCGGGGCCTATCATGGGGAGGGGGGAGGGAGGAGGGATTGCATTGGGAGTTATACCTGATGTAAATGACGAGTTGATGGGTGCTGATGAGTTGATGGGTGCAGCACAGCAACATGGCACAAGTATACATATGTAACAAACCTGCACGTTATCCACATGTACCCTAGAACTTAAAGTATAATAATAATTAAAAAAAAAAAAATTCATGCAAAAAAAAAAAAAAAAAAGAGTGGGAGTTGGTTGCTTCAGTTACTGCTGGGAAAAAAAAGAGTGGGAGTTGGGATCTCAGGTCCCAACTCTTGGGACTCAGTTCAGTCCACCATCTTGGCTGGAAGTTCTCCGAAGAGAACTTCAGAGAAGTGAAGGAGTTTAAACAGGGCAATGGCATAATTTGATTGTTCATGAAAAAGATCCCTTTGTGGTGCTGAGGACAGATTAAGGGCTGCTATAGAGGTGATCATGGCCTTGCCTTCAGAGAAGGGCATAAAGTTGAGAGGTGATCAGAAGATAGAACCAGCAATGGCCAAGGGTCATGATAGCAGTTGGGGTAGAGAGGAAGATTTTGAGCTTGGTACTCGAGTCCTCCCAGGAAGCTGTGGATACCAGTGAAAAGCTGGCCAGAGTGGGAGGCAGGAGTTGCACGAGAACCTCGGGTTTGGAAATTGCAGTGACAGGGCCGGAGATGTGGATGACAAAGTGAAGCGGGTCCAGAGGGCGGAGGGCCCGCAGAGAGAAGAGGCACTCTCCACCAGTGAAGAGATGGGAGTTGAGAAGTTGGGGGTGGTATTTGCATTTTGGGCATTCTGAAAAGTCTCCAGTGTGTCCTACGAGCCTTAGACAAAGCAGACATTTGGGAGACATTTGTAGAGTGTCTTGGTGCCAGCATGAGCCAAGCCATCCTGCTTCCTGGTAAGCAGCATCTGGGCCCTGGCGGAGGAGGGGCCACCTTGAGAGCCTACAGGGCTGGGACCAAGTCCCCCACGAGTCCCTCCCCTCCCCGCTCCCACTGCCCCTAAGTCCGGGTCTCCCTGCCTGCACCATCACCATAGTCCTCACTGATCTTCCTGCGTCTACTTAAACCATTTCAAGGATGATCACTGCCTACAAAATACAGTTCAGACTTTTGAGCTTTTTACTTACAGCCTCGACTGGCCTCCTCAGCCCCTGCGACTCTCCTATGAGTCCTCTCCTTCTTCTACCTGCTTCCCCAAATGTGCCTCCTGCATTCCCTGGGCTTTAATGCTGCTCTCTGCACTCCTCAGATGCTGACGCTGCGCCAAGGTCCAGCAGAGAACGGCGTCCTCTGTGCCTGGTGAGGGCAGTGAGCATTCGTGCTGTGAAAAGGTCATTCCTTCCTTTCATGTTCGACGCCTGTGGTGTGCCAGGCCCTGGACTAGGTGCTAGGCTGGATGTTAAAACTCACAGGGCACAGTCCCTGTTCTGAAGGTGCTTCCAATCCGGAGGTGCCGAACAGTGGCCCCAGTTAGCCAGAGGCAGTGGAATGGGGTTCCCATGCCGTTTTCACCTGAGCTGGGGTCCACAGCTGGCTCCGACTGTCAGGGTTTCAGCTGGCACCGTTGACTGACGGCGTTGCTTTGCAGGGTGGGGAATGGGGTGGAGACTTGAACATTTTGTTCCATAGATGTCTGTGTTGTTTAATCTTGAAATCAAGGTGGGTTTAATATTTGCTTATGTACATAACTGTTTTTTGATTGAAAAATAAATTCTTTTATTTAGGTCTCTTTTTGACTTTCATATAGTCAGTGACCTGTGTCAGCGCTCCTTGTGAATCCCCCGGGACAGGCCCATGCTTGAACAAGCCTGTGGCTGCTCATCATGGGGGAGTGTCCACACCCTGGGGCGTCGTGTTAAGAGGGTGCTGGAAAGGACTTCTTACAGGATTCGGCTTGAGTAATCTGGGGGAGGGTTTAGGGAAGCAGGAGTTTGCTCTGGATTGGTGCTGTCAGGAAGCAGGCATCATTCTGCAATTGGGAGTCTCAATGCATCGTATTTGGAAGGAGGACAGACTAGAACCAGGCCAGAGCTGTCAGCCGTGAAGAGGCAGCAGCCACTCAGACTGTCCCGGACAGGGCACTGCTTGCCCTTTTTACAGCTTGGACAGTGCCCATGTTTTGTCTGTGTTCAGACGTGATGACAGAGGGGTCCTGCTTTTGTATTGATTCATCATGGTGGCAGAGTAGTCTGCTGTTGCTGTTCTATGAAATTTTAACCAGGAGACACTGAGGCCTCTATCTGTGAGTGCCAGGCCGCTCCTAGCAACACCGAGGCCTCTATCTGTGAACGCCAGGCCGCTCCTAGCAACACTGAGGCCTAGAAGATAGGACCAGATCAGCTCCCAGGTGTCAGCGACTGGTCTTTCTACCTGAAGAATCAGTGTGGTGGCCTCACAGTTACTACAGGTGCATTCAGCCTCATGACTCCATGTGAGCACCCCCTGCCGATTCATCTGCCCGGACACATCACCAGGTACTTGGACTCCTCATTTCACTCCATGGCTGGGACACAGCAGATAGCAGACCTCTCAGTTGCCAGACACATCCCAATGGCCTTCGGCTGCGCCCAGCCTGACTTAATTGGTGCCTCCCGATGCTTCTGGAGGCATCTGTGCTCCCAGCTCCCCTCTGGCATGTCTCAGCATCTTGTGGCCCACTTCACCTGTTCACAGCCCCCATGGCTTCCCCTGTACAGTCACCTTCACCCCCCAGGCTCCCGTACAGTCACCTGTTCACAGCCCCCATGGCTTCCCCTGTACAGTCACCTGTTCACAGCCCCCATGGCTTCCCCTGTACAGTCACCTGTTCACAGCCCCATGGCTTCCCCTGTACAGTCACCTGTTCACAGCCCCCATGGCTTCCCCTGTACAGTCACCTGTTCACAGCCCCCATGGCTTCCCCTGTACAGTCACCTGTTCACAGCCCCCATGGCTCCCCTGTACAGTCACCTGTTCACAGCCCCCATGGCTTCCCCTGTACAGTCACCTGTTCACAGCCCCCATGGCTTCCCCTGTACAGTCACCTGTTCACAGCCCCCATGGCTTCCCCTGTACAGTCACCTGTTCACAGCCCCCATGGCTTCCCCTGTACAGTCACCTGTTCACAGCCCCCATGGCTTCCCCTGTACAGTCTCTTGCCAGACTCATCTTCCTAAACACAAACCCAGCTGTGGCCCCTGCCCGAGTGCCCTACACCTGCAGGATAGGCCCAAGCCCTCCTGTGTTCAGCCCTGCCCTTCTCTCTGGTGGTGGGGGTCTTTGCTGTAGATCCTCCGGACCCCTGGCCCTGCCCCATTCCCCAGGGACCCTCACTAAAGCCTCTCCCTCTCAGCCCGGAGTTTGTGTCTGTCTCGAACTCCTCAAGAAAACACTGTCCTGCCACATTTCACTTGGCAGTTATTCCTGAGACCACCCCCTGCCCCTGCACTGACGTTCTTGTTAGCCACATAAACACTTTTTTCTACTCTTTCGTATAAAATCTTGAGGGGTCTGGGATATAGAACTAGGCGGGTTCTTTCTCCTCCTCAGCATGCTGGAGCACAGGCGGGCACCTAGAGGAGGAACTGTACCTGCTCAGGAAACGGCTGGAAGGGGAAGTGGGGGAAGGGGAAGCCGTGTGGCCCACTTGCTGTTCAGCATGTGATTAGCTGCTGCAGAGGGCAATGTGGACTCCAGGAAGTGGCCGCGTGGCTGGGAAGGCAGCGTGTGTCCCCACGCTGTAGGGGGCTGCAGCAGGGAGCACACTCATGACTCAGGTTGTGCAGGGTCAGGGCCCCGGGCTGAGAGGTAAGGGGACAGCAGGAGGGCAGCTGGAGCCACCAGTGGACAGATGGCAGGGGCCATGTACCAGGCTAAGGAGCGTGGACTTCATCCTGAGGGCACCACTGAGGGTTTTAGGAGGCGGGTAGTGCAATGGACGAGATAGATGTTTCAGAAACACACCGCTAGGGTCCTGGTGGAGGGTGGGGCAGGCAAGGCGGCCAGGTGAGGCAGGGGAAGTTGGGAGGGCGAGGGAAGCGGGGCAGCCCTGCTCTGGCTTGGAGATAATGCAGGAGGAGGTTTCAGGAAGGATGAGCCAAGCCCTGGGCAGCCCACAGCTGTGGTGGCCACTGATATCAGGGTGGCGCCGGCTTCGTACATGGAGGTGCTAAGGGGACTGACTGGGTGGTGGGCAGGGGCCTTGAGAGATCCTCAGGCCTCGCTGCATGGAGAGCCTCGAGGCTGCAGTGGGAATGTCCAAGTCCAAAGTTGCCTCTTGGCCTGGAGCCGCGGGGTGTGAGAGCTCAGCACGGCTCACACGCAGCCAGGTCCCACGCAGTGGAGGGATCCCCTGCAGGAGTGGCAGGCGTCACAGGGCAGGAAACGCAGTACAGGCTGGGGCTGAGGGCTCCAAAAGACCGGGCCTGGGCAAGCCAACGGGCCCAAATGGCTGAGCCCTCAGTCTCTGTCCAGCTTTTGGACGGGACCTCCGGCCTGCGTTTCTCATGGGGAGGCTGGAGAGAGGCAGGGACCTCTGTGTGAGGCAGGCCCGGGCAGAATATCAGGGTGCCCACACAGATGGACTGCACAGAGCTGGGGAGGCCCAGGGAGCACCCGAGGAGCATGGCAGGCTGCCCTGGGGCAGGCCAGTGACCTGTGCCGCTGGCCCAGGCGACAGAAGAGTGAGAGGGCTATACCGTGCCATCTCCAGGGAGCACCTGGTAGACACAGCCAGCCCACTTACCATCAGGGTACCCCAGCACAGGCTGAGCTCACTCTGAGCACCCCAGGGTCTCTGTCCATCAGTTAGGAACTCAACACACACCTTATGTAGCTGCGTGTGGGCAGAGGCTTGGCACTGTGTTAACCTCCACTTTCATTTCTGGTCCTGTGTCCCCATCAGCAGGGAAGGCCTGGAGCCCCTCCCGACTTCATGTTGAAAGTGGCAGGGAGAAGAGTGACCAAGGGAAGGCAGAGAGCAAATCCCATTTATTGGAATTTCACTGACAGCAGATTGAGAGGAAGGCTGCCCCCTCCCCTGAAACATGCCGTCCTCTCTGCCCTCAGGGCTCAGCACAGGGATAAGACCCCACTCCGCATGTCCCCAGAGGGCAGCACTCCAGGGTGGGGGGGAGGGGTGCTCTACGCCAGGCTGGGGAGCTGGGACAGGAGGGAAGACGTGCACCCTCACCTCTTGGCTCAATCCCTCTCCCCGGGACCTGGTGCTGCCCCCAGTCCCTGGGGTGGGCTGGCAGACAGGGCTCATGCAACAATGAGTAGACAGGAGGTGGCACAGAAACGTGGCCTTGTTGCCCCTTGGCGGGGCGGGAGGACTAAAGGGGCCATGCTGTGGCCACAGGGGGTCCAAACAGAAGTATCTGCAGTGTACATATGGGAGGGTTGGAGAGGGGCGTCCTCTGCCCCAGGCTGTGCCTGGGGACAAGAGAGAGGGGAAGGACAGCTGGCACTGCCGTGCCAGGGGCAGGGTCCAGGCCAGCCATGCCACCTGAGCGGGCACAGAGAGCTGGAGCTGGGCTACTCCTTGGCGCGGCCAATGATGGTGAGGATGTACAGGAAGATGTTGATGATGTCTGTGTACAGGTTCAGCGCGGCAAACACGTACTCTTCCGGGCTCAGGGACAGCTGCTTGTTCCCCAACAGCAGCTGGGTGTCCACTGCCAGGAACTGGAGGTGACAGCACAGTGGTGTTGAGGGACAAGCCTGCCCGCCCAGCGTCCTGCCCCTGGCCAAGGCCGCCCCTCACTCACGCAGGTGAAGAGCAGAGCGCCCAGCGAGGCGTACACAATCTCCAGGATGCGGTTCCGGATGAAGATGCAGAGGATGGCGAAGATGAAGAGCACCACCATGCTCACCAGGAGCACACCCATGCACGAGGTGAAGTCGTAGCGGGTCTGCAGGCGGGGGAGGAACGGGCCATGGGGCTGGGCCTGGGAAAGCTGCTCGGCCCCTGCGGCCACAGCCCAGCCATGGGAGGCCCCTCACCTGCATGGAGAAGATGACGACCGTGAAGCAGACGGCTGTGGTGATGCCCACGGCCATGATGACTGCCTCGGTGTTGTAGAAGCTGGCGATCATCCCCACCATGTACGACAGGCTGGCGGTCAGGACCGACTGTGGGTGGGAGACACACGCTGGCCTTGGGTGTGTGCCACCCCCGCCCGCCCCTGCCTCATGAGCACAAGGAGAACCAGGGTGACCAGGCCCGGAAGAGTGGGCGTGTGGGACTGCATGGCCAGACCCGGGCCCAGAGGCTCAGGTTTGGGGGTTACCAGTGCAACAAGGTTCCAGGGGTGCTTTCGCCGGAAGTCCCCACAACAGCTGAGGACGATGAGGGAGATGAAGAAGACAGCATAGGAGACATAGTAGGTCCAGACGTTCTCCCGGACAAAGCCCTTCACCTCCCCAACAAAAGTGAACACAGACACCGTGGACAGGGTCACCGACAGCTGCAGGGTCAGCACCAGGAACACCTGGGAAAGGAGCCGCTCGGAGTCATCCGCTGGGCGCCACACCCCCCACCTCCTCCGAGATGCCCCCACCCACCTTGCGGATGAAGGCCTGTCGGATGCTCTTGTCATCCCAGTCGGTGGCAGGGAAGTCCTGGTTGTCATAGTAGGATGGGGGACCCTCCTCCTGGTAGTTTCCATGCTGGGGTGCTGAGGAGCAGACAGGCTGGGTCAGCGCCACTCACGAGCACCTCCCCCTGCCCTCCCCGCCACCCCACCCCTCCCTTCCTGAGACTCACAGTCAGGGTCTTGTCCTGGGAAGGCCTGTGGCTGTCCATAGGGGTTGGGGGGAAAGGGGCTCTGGGGATATGGCCCCTGGGGGTAGCCCCCTTGGGGGTAGGGGCCCTGTGGGTAGCCCTCTTGTGGGTAGGGGCCCTGTGGGTAGGCCCCTTGGGGGTAGGGGCCCTGTGGGTAGCCCCCTTGGGGGTAGGGGCTGGGGCCATGGGGGTACCCTGGCTGACCGTAGGGTGAGGGCTGGAAAGGGGGCTGCGGGTAAGGGGCCCCAGGGTAGGGAGGCTGAGCATAGGGGGGCATGGGTGGCTGGGGCCCCCCTGGATATCCAGGGTTGGGGGGAGGATAGTTGTCCCCAGACACCAAAAAACTCTTTTCATGGGACATGGCCTCGGGTTCGGCGGTCCGCCCCTAGAGCAGGCAAACAAAAAACAGTGGAACAGTTGGCTTGCGCGACAGTGTCAGGACCCAGCCCTGCGCAACTCCACCTGCTTCTCGGAACCCAGGGGGAAGAAAGGGAAGACCGTGACCTTTGCCACGGGCTGTGCGGAGCCCCAGAGCCTGGGCCTGGAGAAGCGCGTGGGAACCTGACCGGACCGGCGCCGTGGGGCCTTCCCAGGACTCTAGGCCGCCTTTAGGGTGGGGGAGGGGCCGGGCGAGGGGACAACCGCCAGCCTCGGGATTTGGGGCTTGGTTGTTTATCACAAGCAACCGCAGGCCTGCACCGCTGCCGGCGTCTCCCGGGTGGGAGCTCAGCTCGTGGGGGCTGGGGTCTGGTCGGGGACGTGTGGGGTGTGCCCGGACCCTCCCCTCCGCATCCCGCCCCTTAAGCAGCTTTAAGGGGCCGGAGCCGGCGGCTATTTCTATCCTAGGAAATCCCCGGGCCATCTGTGACCAACAAGGGCCCGAGCCCCCCCACCCCCCCGAAGCCAACAACAGGGCCCAACGGCCCCGGGCTCCGGGTGGGGGGATCAGGCCTCGATCGGCTGCCGGTGCCTGCCAGTGGGATACGCCGGGAACAGCGGGGTGCGGGGGTGTGTGGGGGATGGAAGCGACCACGGAGCGTGCGGGGAACAAAGCGGGCGTGGGGCGAGGCGGGTAGGGGCTGCGGCCGTGGCACTGACACCGAGGGCGGATGGGCCCTCCGCGGGCCGGGGGCGCACAGGGTCATGGGTCCAGCAGTCGCCGCAGCGCGCCGCCCCCTCCCTCCGGCTCCAGGCCGCCGCGGCTCCCCGCCCCCACCACCGCCGCCACCTCTGGCCGGGAGCAGCCGCGTGCCCCGGCGGGGCCAACTGACCGACCCGAGGCGGCCACGCTCGGATGCGCAGGACCCGCGTGGGGGCGGGGGCGGGGGCGGGGGCGGCCGGCCGCACGGCGCAGCGGGTAGGACGCGCTCCTGGGCTCTGGCCGGGGACTCACCGGTGGCGGGGCGCCGCAGGCCGGTGAGCACGGTGTCCGCTGCGCGGCCGCGCGGTGATGGCCGGTGCGCCCGCACCCGCACCCGCACCCGCTCCCGCTCGGCGGCCGCTCGGCTGGGCCTGCGCCTGCGGCTGGGAAGACGCAGCGGGGCCTTGTGACGGGGCGGGGTAGGGGGCGGGGCCGGGCGAGCTCGGGGATGGGCGGGGCGGGGCAGGGCGGGCGGGGCTTCCGCGGACCCCACCCACTGCGCCCCCGTGCTTGTTTCTTTTGGCTCTGGCTGGAGGCCCGCGCCCCTCACTGCCTGCCGAGGGCTGGGGTCGGGCGGTGGGCGCTGAAGACCCCTGGAGGCAGAAGTCTGGTCTGGCCAATTTGGCTGGCCGTTCGGTAGTTAAGAAATTTATTCCTAAATGCGGGATTTGCTGAAGCTGCCCGGGACTGACCATCCGTTCTCTGCCTTAAAACACAACGTTCACTTCTTTTCATCCAGGTCTATCCCAAATCAAGAAGCCTAATCGTTTAGTTCCCAAATTGAGGCCTCATGGTTTAATTGCCCCATTTTCTCTATCAGCCCAAACTCGGCCAGGCCTGCTACTAGAGACCTTTTTTTTTTTTTTTTTTAATTCTTGTGGATACATAGGTGTATGTTTATGGGCCACAAGGGACGTTTTGATATAGGCATGCATAATAATCACATCAAGGTAAATGGGGTATCCATCAGCTCAAGCATTTGTCCTTCGTGTTACAAACAATCCGGTTATACTCTTGGAGTTGTTTTAAAATGTACAATTAAATTATTTTTGATTACAGTCACCCTGTTGTACTAGCAAATACGATGTCTTATTTTCCCACTAGAGACCCTGAAGGCTCACTTGTCTGCCTGACGTCCTCACAAGCTGCGAGGGGCTGAGGCTTGAGGATACAGCAGGACTGGAGGCCAGGCCGCCTCCCTGCTTGGCTCCCAAGTCCTTTTGGGGGAACAGTGACTGGCACAGGCAGGGTGCATCCTGCTGCCAGCCTTCCCACCCAGGGCCCAGACCCCACCTGCCCTTCTGCCCTTGGAGGGCTGGCCGCTCCCAGACCGCTCTGAGTCCTGCACCTATGGTGCACTGGTGCAATGTTTAGCAACCAGACCTAGTGAGGGGAAGCCTGGGGTGCATTTTTTTGCACGTGCCCATGGTGTTATTACTCCACCAGGGCTGGTTTCAAGTTACCCCCAGCTGAGCAACCAGTCCACAGGAATTCCTGAAACTGTACCAGTCTGCTTGTGGTGTGAGTGGTGCCTGGGCCCTCTGCAGCCAGGGTCGGCATAATGGGTAACCTGTGATGAGTTCCATTAGAGGAAACGTGGGAAAAGCAGGGATGGATTTACCTTTGTAGAAGCAGAAGCTCACAAAATTTGAGAGACCTTTAAGAAAAATAAAATGCCGGCCGGGCGCGGGGGCTCACGGCGGGCGGATCACAAGGTCAGGAGATCCAGATCATCCTGGCTAACCCAGTGAACCCCTGTCTCTACTAAAAATACAAAAAAAAAAAAAAAAAAATTAGCTGGGTGTGGTGGTGTGCACCTGTAATCCCAGCTACTGAGAAGGCTGAGGCAGAAGAATTGCTTGAACCTGGGTGGCAGAGGTTACAGTGAGCTGAGATCGTGCTACTGCACTCCAGCCTGCGTGACAGAGTGTGACTCTGTCTCAAAAAATAAATAAATGAATAAATAAATAAATAAATAATAGCCGGGTATGGTAGCGCACGCCGGTAATCCCAACACTTTGGGAGGCTGAGGCAGGTGGATCATCTGAGGTCAGGAATTCGAGACCAGTCTGCCCAATAGGGTGAAACCCTGTCTCTACTAAAAATACAAAAATTAGCTGGGCATGGTGTTGTGTGCCTGTAATCCTGGCTACTTGGGAGGCTGAGGCAGGAGAATCCCTTGAACCAGGGAGGCAGAGTTTCAGTGAGCTGAGATCACACCATTGCACTCCAGCCTGGACACAGAGGGAGATCCCGTCTCAAAGAAAATAAACACTTTTTTTTAAAATTTTGAGACGGAGTCTTGCTCTGTCACCTAGGCTGGAGTACAGTGGCTTGATCTCGGCTCACTGCAAACTCCGCCTCCCGGGTTCATGCCATTCTCCTGCCTCAGCCTCCCAAGTAGCTGGGACTGCAGGCGTCCACCACCACGCCCGGGTAATTTTTTGTATTTTTAGTAGAGACGGGGTTTCACCGCGTTAGCCAGAATGGTCTTGATATCCTGACCTCGTGATCCGCCTGCCTCGGCCTCCCAAAGTGCTAGGATTATAGGCGTGATCCACTACGCCTGGCCAAAAATAAATAAATTTTTAAAAATTAAATAAATAAAGTAAAATGCTGAGTACAAAGTTGAGTAAAGGGCTTCAGGAGGGGTCGTGTAGGCAGAGTCCCTAAGTGTCTTTAGATTTATGTTAAATCTGCCTTAAAAACAGAGTAAGGGGCTGGGCACAGTGGCTTGTGCCTGTAATCCTAGCACTTTGGGAGGCCAAGGTGGATGGACCACCTGAGGTCAGGAGTTCGAGAGCAGCCTGGTCAACATGGTGAAACCCCATCTCTACTAAAAATACAAAAATTAGCCGGGCATGGTGGCACACATTTGTTTTCCCAGCTACTCAGGAGGCTGAGGCAGGAGAATCACTTGAACCCAGTGGGTGGAGGTTGCTGTGAGCCGAGATCACGCCACTTCACTCCAGCCTGGGTGAAAGGGTGAAACTCCGTCTCGGAAAAAAAAAAAGGCAGAGTAAGGGAGATCATGCCAGAGGGTGGCCATGGGGTTTGTGGGGAAGGCCAAGTAGAGGAAAGGGCCAGTCCCAGGCCACTGAGGCAGGAGTGGCCTGTAGCTCTGCAGGAAGAGCTGAGAACCTGGAGCCCTCTGAGCATCAGGGTGTGCAGGGGGCATGGGGCCAGAGAAGGGACTGAGGTCTGGTCAGGTGCAGCTGGGCAGGTCCTCAAAAGGACTTTGGAATTTTTGTTTTGTTTTGTTTTGTTTTAGACAGAGTCTCACTCTATCACCTAGGTTGGAGTGCAATGTCATGATCTCAGCTCACTGCAACCTCTGCCTCCCAGGTTCAAGCGATTCTCCTGACTCAGCCTCCCAAGTAGCTGAGATTACAGGTACCTGCAACCATGCCTGGCTAATGTTTTCATTTTTAGTAGAGACAGGGTTTTACTTTGTTGGCCAGGCTGATCTCAAACTCCTGACCTCGTGATCCAGCTGCTTCAGCCTCCCAAAGTGCTGGGATTACAGGCGTGAGCCACTGCGCCCAGCCCCCAGCACTTTGGTTTTTACTGTTGCTGATGCTCGGAGCTATGTAGCAGCTGCTGGTGTCACTTTACAAGGCCCACCCTGACCCCTCTGTTGAGGACCCACCATGGGAGTGGCAGGCAGACAGAGACTAGTTAAGAGGTGAGCTTAGCTACCTAGCGAGAGATTCTGGAGGCTGGGACCAGGGTCGGGGCAGCAGAGGGGCGGCATGTGCAGGGCTGGGAGCGAAGGCTGGCCAGGGTCCTCAGCTCCCCGGAGGGAGGAGCAGCAGGGGTGGGGCTGGGTTTTGGTGGGCTGAGGGGTGAGTGGGAAGTAGGAGACGGAGAGCAGTAGTAGCCACAGCTCTTTGAAAGGCTGGAAACAAATGGAGCTTGGGTGATGTCGGGGATTTGTGGTGAGTGGGATTGTGGATTCTGAAGGCACTGCCCAGGTTTGAGGCCTGGTGCTGCTGTGGGCCTGTCTGCACCTGTTTCCCTTTCTGTGGTGAGGATTAGTGGCAGCAAAGAATGCAGTGAGGCCATCACCCTGTCACCTTCTGGGGTTATTTGTGACGATGCCAATGATGGTGTGAGATGGGGAGGTGCAGGCAGGACAGAAAGCTGCAGGAATGGGCGGGCAGGACCCAAGGCGGGAGGAAGGCTGTGCTGCAATGCACGCTCTTGGAGACCAAGGGTGGGGAGCTGCCTATGCTCAGCAGCTGGCAGGTGTGAGGGTCCAGGAGCAGGGTTGAGAAGGTTGCTGGAGGCACTGAAGGCCAGCCTTGGCCAGGGGCGGACCTGAAGACCCAGCACTTGTCATGCATAGGGTGTCATGGACACAGAGGCTTGGAGATCCTGAGTGAGGGGCAGTGACTCAGGCCCCTTGGTGGGTTTAGTGGGGAAGGTGATTGGCCATTTTCGGACCATGGAGGCCAGGGGAGTGGAGGGCCACCAGAGGACACTCCTGTCTACCCTGCCAGCCAGGGGCTGGAGTGAGCCAGGGGCTGGAGTGGGCCAGATGGGGCCAGTGGACTGGACTGGGCTGGCTGGAGTGTCCTGAGGGGTCCAGCCTGGCCAATACCTCCTGGTCATCTGGGGGTTGAGGCTGCAGCAGGAGAGGAAGCTTCTGAGCCCCAGTAACCAGGCCTCAGCGCCCGGGGCCCAGCTGCTCCCTCCCTCCTTCCGTCTTTCAGTTTCACTTTTGTTTTCCTGCTCCCTGCAGAGTTAGGCTTGCTGAGGGGCAGGCGCAGGAGTCCTGGCTGAGCTCATGACCTGAGGCTGCCGAGCGGCAGCAGGGAGTGTAAGTACCGTGTGTGGGGCCACCCATAACGGGTGAGTATTGAGGGCACCCCTCGGAGGGGCCTGGGGAGGGGTAGGAGGGGTGGAGTGGGCTGTTTCCCTACCCACCCGATGCCCCATCCCAGGGTTGCAATGGCGGAGGCAGAGGCAGGGGTGGCAGTGGAGGTCCGTGGACTGCCTCCTGCCGTGCCCGACGAGCTGCTCACACTCTACTTTGAAAACCGCCGACGCTCTGGAGGGGGCCTGTGTTGAGCTGGCAGAGACTGGGCTGCGGGGGCATCCTCACCTTCAGAGAGCCTGCAGGTGAGAGGACTGGCTGAAGGGGCAGCCTGGGTGCCTTGACGTTCTGATGCCTGACGTCCTGCCCTGCCACTGCCCACAGACGCCGAGAGGGTCTTGGCCCAGGCAGATCACGAACTACATGGTGCCCAGCTGAGCCTGCGGCCAGCTCCACCACGAGCCCCTGCACGCCTGCTGCTCCAAGGACTGTCCCCTGGCACCGCACCCCAGCGTCTGGAGCAGCATGTCCAGGCCCTGCTGCGTGCCTCGGGGCTCCCAGTACAGCCCTGCTGTGCCTTGGCCAGCCCCCGGCCGGACCGGGCTCTGGTCCAGTTGCCCAAGCCCCTTTCTGAGGCAGGTGAGAGGCGGGTTGGGGTTGAGGGGCTGGCTAGGGGAGCTTCCCTGAGCTGACCTGCACATTCCCCACAGATGTCCGTGTCCTGGAGGAGCAGGCCCAGAATCTGGGCCTGGAGGGGTCCTCGGTGTCCCTGGCCCGGGTGCCCCAGGCCCGAGCAGTGCGTGTGGTGGGGGACGGCGCCTCTGTGGACCTGCTGCTGCTGGAGCTGTACCTGGAGAATGAGCGCCGCAGTGGTGGGGGGCCCCTGGAGGACCTGCGATGCCTGCCGGGGCCCCTGGGCACTGTTGCCTCCTTCCAGCAGTGGCAAGGTGAGTGGGGCTGGGCAGACCCAGCTGACCCTCCCTCTCCTGGAGAAATCTGACAGGTTTTCTGTCCTTTCCCTTCCTCCAAGTGGCAGAACGAGTGTTGCAGCAGGAGCACCAGCTGCAGGGCTCAGAGCTGAGCCTTGTCCCCCACTACGACGTCCTGGAGCCTGAGGAGCTGGCTGAGAACACCAGTGGAGGGGACCACCCATCCACCCTGGGGCCTAGGGCTACCAAGCATGCTATCCTGAGGACTGGAGGGCTGGTGACGGCTCTGCAGGGTGCAGGGACTGTGACAATGGGCTCTGACAAGGAACCAGGGCAGTTAGGGTCCTCTCTGAGGACTGGTCCCATGGTGCAAGGTACAGGGACTATGACGACGGGCTCTGGCGAGGAATCAGGGCAGTCAGAGGCCTCTCTGAGGACTGGTCCCATGGGGTCTCTGGGACAGGCAGAGCCAGTCGGCTCAATGCCCATGGGGTCTCTCGAACATGAGGGGCTGGTAAGCCTGAGGCCTGTGGGGTTGCAGGAACAGGAGGGGCCCATGAGCGTGGGGCCTGTGGGGTCTACAGGCCCAGTGGAGATCTCTAAGGGGTTGCTAGGGCAGGAGGGCCTGGTGGAAATTGCCATGGACTCACCAGGGCAAGAAGGGCTGGTGGGTCCCATGGAGATCGCCATGGGGTGTCTGGAGAAGGCCGGGCCTGTGAGCCCAGGACACGTGAAGCTGGCGGGGCAGGAGGGCCTGGCGGAGATGGTGCTGCTGATGGAGCCAGGGGCGATGCGCTTCCTGCAGATCTATCATGAGGACCTTCTTGCGGGCCTGGGAGACGTCGCTCTCTTCCCACTTGAAGGACCGGATGTGACTGGCTTTCGGGTGAGTGGCCCCTCAGGACTCCTCACCTTCGGCCCCCTCCTCCTACTGACTCAGAATACCTCTTCTGTGCTCTAAACCTGCAAACTCCGCCTCTGCCATGGCCCTGCAGCTCTGTGGAGGCCAGACTTCCTGCCAGGCGGCCGAGGAGTTTCTGCGGAGCCTGCTGGGCAGCATTAGCTGCCATGTGTTGCGCCTGGAGCACCCGGGCAGCGCCAGGTTTCTCCTGGGCCCAGAAGGGCAGCGCCTTCTCCAGGGGCTGGAGGCTCAGTTCCAGTGTGTCTTTGGGACAGAGCGCCTGGCCACAGCCACCTTGGACACAGGCCTTGAAGAGGTAGAGATGGAGTCCCACCCCTGCCCTCCGCTTTCTCACGCCTCTGCCCCAGACCTCCTCTGCCCTTGCCCAGAGGCTAGTGGTCCTGACGTCCTCTCCCTACAGGTGGACCCTACCGAGGCCCTCCCAGTGCTCCCTGGTGATGCCCACACTCTGTGGCCCCCAGACAGTACAAGTAGTGACCAGGAGGACGTGAGCCTAGGTAGGACTCCCTGGGAGCCCTCAGCACATCCTGTGGCCCTCACTTGACCCCACCCCCTGCCCTGCTCTGTCCTCCCATCTGTCTACTGACCCATCTTAGGCCCACCGTGTACCCCAAAAACTTGCTTCCCATCTTTCACCCATTCCAACTCCTCCTGGGCCCAGCCCCTGACCCAGTGGCCTCTCCCTGCCTCCAGAGGAGGTCCGAGAACTGCTGGCCACCCTGGAGGGCCTAGACCTAGACGGGGAGGACTGGCTGCCTCTGGAGCTGGAGGAGGAAGGGCCTCAGGAGCAGCCAGAGGAGGAGGCGACCCCAGGGCATGAGGAGGAGGAGCCTGTGATCCTGGCACCCAGGCGGCTGGAGGAGGAGGCCGCTCTGCAGGTGGCCCTCCACCGGTCGCTGGAGCCTCAGGGTCAGGCGGCTGAGCAGGAGGAGTCTGCTGCCCTGCGCCAAGCCCTAGCCCTCTCCCTGCTGGAGCAGCCCCCGTTGGAGGCAGAAGAGCCTCCAGATGCGGGGACTGATGGGAAGGCCCAGCTGGTGGTGCACTCGGCCTTTGAGCAGGATGTGGAGGAGCTGGACCGGGCACTCAGGGCTGCCTTGGAGGTCCACCTCCGGGAGGAGACAGTGGGGCCCTGGCGCCGCACACTGCCTGCAGAGCTGCGTGCCCGCCTGGAGCGGTGCCACGGTGTGAATGTTGCCCTGCGCGGTGACTGCACCATCATCCGTGGCTTCGGGGCCCATCCTGCCCGTGCTGCCCGCCACTTGGTGGCACTTCTGGCTGGCCCCTGGGATCAGAGTTTGACCTTTCCCTTGGCAGCTTCAGGCCCTACCTGTGAGTCTACATCCTGGACTGAGGGATGGTGGGGTGGGCTGGTTAGCAGGGGCTAGTGCCCCAGGCACGGCTCTGACCTCCCCTTTTCCCCACGCATCAGTGGCGGAGCAGACGCTGAAGGGGCCCTGGAACAAGCTGGAGCATCTGGCAGAGAGCACCGGGGAATTCCGAGAGGTGGTGCAGGCCTTCTACGACACCCTGGACGCTGCCCACAGCAGCATCCGCATTGTTCGCGTGAGTCCATGCCCTGTCTCTCTGGCCCCATGGCGTCCTGGGCTCTTGCACCATCAGCACCTTGCCAAGTCTGTGGCCTGTCCCTCTTGCCTACATCAAGGTCAGCTGACCAGGAGCTGACAGGCTCCCAGCCCTGTTCTCTGCCCAGAGGGCGTTCCCAAAGTGGGTAGGGAAACAGGAGGGAACAGAGTGGGGGTCTTGGGATCTGATAGGCCTGAATGAGGGTCCCCACTCTGCCGCTCATGACTGGGTCACCAGGGACTATGGGACCACTGCCAGGCCTCAGTTTCCTTATTTGGAGCATGGGCGGTGACGCCCTCTTGTGGCTATTGTGAGGATTATTCGTTTCACAAATGCATCCCTTGTGCTGTTCGGGTGCTCTTCTGCCTCCACAGAAAGGCCCAGGCTCGCTGCGGTCACTGTGCTGGGGTCACTGTGCTGATAACACTGCGTGGGGCACTCTCAACTCTTGATGTTCAAAGTTGTGCGTGAGGCCAGCAGCATCACCCTCCACCAGGAGCTGGTCAGAAATGCAGAAAGAACCTCTGGTTGTCCTCAGACCTGACCACCACCATCACCACCAACACCACCAACACCAACACCATCACAACATCGCCATGACCCTCACTACCATCACCATAATCACCATCACCATGACCCTCACCACTCACTGTCATCACCATCACCATCACCATCACCATCACCACCACCATCACCACCACCATGGCCACCATCGTCACCATCACCACCATTAGCATCACCACTATCACTGTCAGCTTCACCAACACACCTTCACCACTCACCACCACCAGCATCACCACCACCCAGACGCACTGAGCTCATATCCTGGTGGTTTTGTTAATTATATGTACTTGGTTCTTCCGGTGAGCACCTTTATGACTTTAACTGGTACACTTGAATATTTTTTTTCACTTGACAGCTTTAGAGATTGTTTCTTGCCTTCCTGCAAGAAGGTAAGATGGAGGAGAATGGGCCTCGCTTCTCTCTCTTTTGCCTCCTTCCTCACCTTCCATCTCAATTTGGTCAGTTACATTATTTTTATTATGTAGTAAAGGTTTCTGTAACTATCACAAAGCCTCCATGCTTGGACCATAGGTTGGTAGACGTACTATAATAATGAAAAAATATTTACCATTGAGCCATAGAAAGAGAAATGAAATCCTAGTTATTAAAACTGTGTTCTGTGAAAAAGGTATTCTAGAATTCAAGGCTAATGGCCGTTGTTTTTTTGACTTTATTTTTTCTGGGTCATGCTTGACCACTGGGTTACTCAGTCCCCACTTGTCACATTTTGGCACAGATTCTTTTGTTTAGTGGGAGTATCTCCTTGAGTGGATGGCAAACATATTTGACTTTTAAATTTATGTATATGTGAACATATATATAAACATATACATTTATATAGATAAACATACACATTTATATATATATATGATTTTCTTTAAGACAGTGTCTCTCTCTGTTGCCCAGGCTAGTGTGCAGTGGTACAATCTCGGCTAACTGCAACCTCCGCCTCCTGAGTTCAAGTGATTCTGCCTCAGCCTTCCAGGCAGCTGGGATTATAGGCACACACCACCACACCCAGCTACTTTTTGTATTTTTAGTAGAGATGGGTTTTGCTTTTTTGTTTTTTTTTTTTTTTTTGAGATGGAGTCTCACTCTGTCGCCCAGGCTGGAGTACAGTGACACGATCTCAGCTCACTGCAAGTTCTGCCTCCCGGGTTCATGCCATTCTCCTGCCTCAGCCTCCTGAGTAGCTGGGACTACAGGCGCCCGCCACTACACCTGGCTTATTTTTTGTATTTTTAGTAGAGACGGGGTTTCACTGTGTTAGCCAGGATGATCTGGATCTCGTGACCTCGTGATCTGCCCACCTTGGCATCCCAAAGTGCTGGGATTACAGGCGTGAGCCATTGCACCCGGCCGAGACGGGGTTTTGCCATGTTGGTCAGGCTGGTCTCAAACTCCTGACCTCAAGTGATCCACCTGCCTTGGCCTCCCAAAGTGCTGCGATTACAGGCATGAGCCACTGCGCCTGGCCGACTTTTAAATTTACGTTGCCCTTTACAATTGGAGGTATTTTGCAACTGTAATTTGATGTTGGTATAAACTTCCATGTTCTCGTGTGTCCTAATATGCCCTTATTTGTCCTCATTCTTCATTAATAGTTTGGCGGAATATAGTGCTCGGTTCAAAATATGTTTTGCCTCAGATATTTGAAGACATTGCTGTTTTTTTTCCTTCTTAAAAATATTTTTCTTGGAAAGTTAAAAAATATCCCCCCGTGGTTTCTTAGCATCTGGTGTCTGCAGTGAGAGACCCAATGTGAGAAGGCGAGATTTCTTCCCATTTGCATATTGAGCTCGGGGGGTGTGTGTGTGAACTTGCAGGGTTTTCTTTCACTCTGAGGGTTGAGGTTTCCTGGCAGGTGGGTGCCCCTGGCAGGGGTGTGTCTTTCCTCACTGTCCTTCTGGGCATTTCACAGATCTTGTGTATCTGAAGATGTTCCTTTAGCTCAGGGAAGCCATCTTCCCTGTGTGCACTGGAGCTCCGGCCAGTGGAGCTCATGCCCCTTCACCTGCTCCCTCCGAGTTCCTTTCTCTTCCCTTAGCTCCGCACCCTGCGTCAGTTCCTGAACTCCATCTAGAACACTAGCTGGGGCTTTAGTTTGAACCACTTCCTCATTTGGCTCACCCCGCTGGAGTGAGCTCAGCGTCCCTTTCTGAACGTAGGAGCACTCTGGTTTTCAGACTAGTTCCTTTTCATGGCAGCTAGTCTTGTTTAATGGACATAGTGTTCTTTTGCAACCCTGTGAAAAAACTATTCAGAATTTCTTTAAAAGTGTTTCCTAGGGCTGACTGTCGGGTTGGTCACCTGAGGCCTTCTCTCCCATCTGGGTCTTTCAGCACTGAGAGGTCTGTGGGCAGCTCCCGGTGCTGGAGTCAGGTCCTGCAGGCAGCATAGGGCCGTGGCTCAGCTCTTCTCTGCAGAGGCCTCGGTGTGAGTGGGTGGGGTTTGCCCACCTGTAGACCTCCACGGGAGGGGGGAGGGGGGCATCAGACTCCCCTGGAGGGGTCAGTCTCCCCAGAGGCCCTCTGAAGTCACTTGTCTCATGGAGGTGCTACTGTCTGCTGCTGGACAGAGCATGATGGAGGCTGCAAGGGCTCCCTCAAACCCTCCAACAGAGGGCTCCTGGTTGCCGGGCTCAGTTCTGCCCTGGGTGGGCCCCAGGGCGGAGGAAGGGTGTTTAATCCTGGCCTGGGCCATCCCCCCGCAGGTAGAGCGGGTGTCGCACCCGCTGCTGCAGCAGCAGTATGAGCTGTACCGGGAGCGCCTGCTGCAGCGATGCGAGCGGCGCCCGGTGGAGCAGGTGCTGTACCATGGCACGACAGCGCCGGCAGTGCCTGACATCTGCGCCCACGGCTTCAACCGCAGCTTCTGCGGCCGCAACGGTGAGGCCTGAGCCCGGCAGGCGCGGGGGCTCTGCGCACCCTGACCACCCTGACCTTGCCCTGTCCCGCCCTGCAGCCACGGTCTACGGGAAGGGCGTGTATTTCGCCAAGCGCGCCTCCCTGTCGGTGCAGGACCGCTACTCGCCCCCCAACGCCGATGGCCACAAGGCGGTGTTCGTGGCACGAGTGCTGACCGGCGACTACGGGCAGGGCCGCCGCGGTCTGCGGGCGCCCCCTCTGCGGGGCCCAGGCCACGTGCTCCTGCGCTACGACAGCGCGGTGGACTGCATCTGCCAGCCCAGCATCTTCGTCATCTTCCACGACACCCAGGCGCTGCCCACCCACCTCATCACCTGCGAGCACATGCCCCAGGCTTCCCCCGACGACCCCTCTGGGCTCCGGGGCCACTCCCCAGACACTTAACCGAAGGGGCCACCTTCTGGCCTCCTGCTTCCCAGGCTCCTGGCTCCGCACAGCCTGATGCCCCCGCCCCCAACTGTGGCCGCCTGAGCTGCGGAATCCAGAAGGCGGTGTGGAGTTGGGGGTCAGCAGCGGCCGAGGGGGGCTGGGCTTGGTCCCCGCCTGGGCCGACCCCACCACCAGGGGTCAGCAGAGCCCAGGAGGCGACGCCGCCCGCCCGCCGCGCCCAGACCTCGCCTGAATCGGCTCTGTTGTTTGAATAAACGTGAACGTGAACCCAAGCGGAAGGGCCCCGGGAACTCCGACTGCGACCTCTGTTTGGGACTGGGGACTCCGCGGCCCAGGGGCGGGGTCTGCAGCTCCCGAGGAGGCGTCGGGGTGCGGGGCGGGGCCCGGAGCGCACCGGGGCCAGCGCACTGCGTTCCTGTGTCGCGCACGCTGGCGCAGACAGCGTCTCCTTGCCGACCGGCCCGCCCCGTGCACCCGGGACTCAGGTGTGCGCCGCGCCCTGGCCGAGTCTCCCCGCTGCCCTGGCCGAGTCGTCCCGCGCGGGCACCGGCCCCGCCGCTCCCGTGATCTCGCGCAGACACGGGCGCGCCGCGCAGACACGGGCGCCCGATCTCGCGGGCAGCGTTCGCTCGCGCTCCTCCGGGCCCGCGCGGTGCAGCTCTGGGTGGGGGCTGGGGCGGGGCTCGGGGTTCGCCCCGCCTGCGCCGCCTCCGCCGTTCTCCCGGCCCCAGCAGTCTGGCTGCGGCGGCAGAGCTGAAGCGAGCGGAGCCACCAGGCACGTAAGACCGCGGCCAGGATGGAGAGGCGCGCCGCGTGCGGGCGTTGCGGGGTGGGGGTCGGGGGGGTCTCCGGCCGCAGGCCACACGGAACTGGGGGCTGCGTCGCGCCCCCTCCTGCCCTCGCTCGAGAGGACAGGATCTCCCTGCGCGCTCGAGACTGCGGAACTGGACGGGCGGTGCCCGGGGTGTGGGCAGGAAAGGCTGCTGGGGAGGCGCGGCTGACCGCAGGGCTCTGGGCCGGGGACTGCAACCAGGGCGGCCCGTGGAGGAGCCAGTGGGGGCGGGGCGCGGCGGGCCCGTGCTCGGTGTCCGCTGTCTCCTCCCTAGCCCTTGGCCTGAGGGCGGAGGCACAGAGCCCACATTGTGCCCCCACACCAGCCCACCCTCGCCGAGACAGAGTCCCATTCACCTCTCGCACGCCAGTGCTCTTGGGGACGGGGGCTGGGAAGTGTGGGCGCGTGGGTATGCGTGCGCCCTGGTTGCGTCCGCCGTGCAGGTGTACGCGCCCCACGGTGGGCTGCTGGAGCGGCTGCCTGGGCTCCCTCCCGGCCTCGCCGCAGCAGAGCTCCGGCGGCCCACGCCGCTGCGGCTGTAGCTATTTATAGGCCTTCGCTGCGGAGATGGAGGTGGGACTGCGGGCTGAGGTGGGGTGGCGTGATGGGGAGTCCTAGAGGTCAAGACAGCTTGGAGGTGGACTGCTGGTGTCCAGGGAAGGGCTTGGGTGTCCTTCCCTGATGACCCGGGGAGTGGTGGGGGCAGTGGTCAGCGTTCCTTGATGGCCTCGCCTGCCTACGATTAGAGGGTTAGAGGCAGGTCCAGTTTGGGATGGAGGCAGTGGAGGCCCGCATCTGAGTGAAGGTAGTCGCCTTTCGCCTTCCACTGGACAGGGTGGAAGGTGGTCTGTCCTGTGCCGGTTGAGCCCCTGGGTGACAGAGTAGGAGGGTGTGGGTGACTAAGAGAGGAGAGTGGCACTCAATGTGCGGGAGTGGGGGTGGCCAGGGTGGTCAGTGTCCTGGTGATAGACTGGAGGGTGAGGCCAGTGGCTGGGGGGGGGTCACTGTGGGTGTCTGAGGAATGGGCGGGAGGGGGCGAGGCAGTCATGGATGGAGAGAGGGTAAGTGCCTGGGGCCAGAGCATGGGGGTCAGTATGTGGGTACAGCAGGGTGCAGGAGGGGTGTGGGTGCCAGTGTCCAGGCGAGAGGGTGAGTGGGGCGGGGTCAGTGTCTAGATTAAGAAGGTGGTGGGTGGGTCGGCGTGCAGAGTCCACTCCTGAACAGGCAGAGGTGTGACCCCTCCTGCTTCCCCTCCAGGAGGCCATGTCGGGTGAGGACGCTGAGGTCCGGGCAGTCCTGAAGATGTCTCCAATGGAAGCAGTGGCTCGCCCAGCCCGGGGACACACTGCCCTGGAACCTTGGGAAAACGCAGCGGAGCCGGCGCAGCGGGGGTGGCGCTGGGAGCAACGGGAGTGTGCTGGACCCTGCGGAGCGGGCAGTCATTCGCATCGCAGGTAACTGCGCAGGGCCTTGCCTGTGCACCGCCTTAGCACACGCAGGTTGACTGAGTTCCCGCTGCGTGCTAGGCGCTGGAGCTGGGACTGGATGGGGGAGGCCCGGGGGGATCTGCGGGTCAGGGAGGGCCTCGCGCATCCCAGGTGAGTGCAGGCGGCGCAGCGCCACCTGCTGGGCCGGCCCAGGCGGTTCATGAGACCTGGGGTTGGGCTTCTTGCTGCGGCGTCCATCATTGACTTTAAAACGGTCCAGTGCCCAGACAACAAGGATAATATTTTGGGCTCCTGGGGCAGAGCTGCCCACAAGGCCCTCGGTCTCGGCTGCCACCATGGGGGCCAGGTGGGCATGTACAGGAGCAGTGTATAGGGAGGGGACGCCTGGTTGTCTGGAGCCCCAGCCTCTTCCTGAGCTAGGATCTGGCCTTGCTTTCCAGTAGCTCCCCATCCAGGGAGGGGACACCTGGTTGTCTGGAGCCCCAGCCTCCAGGATGGGAAGCACCTGCGAGAGGCCTGGGGAAGGGGTAGGGCAGGAGGGAAGTGGGTGACCTAGAGCTGGAGGCCATGGGCAGGGTGTGCTAGGAGAGGGAGGAGCCGTAGCTCTCTAGGCTTCAGCTGGAGAGTCCTGACCTGTTCCAGCCGGAGGGAAGGGAGGCCCCTGCGGGAGGCCAGGAGAGGGCTGCAAGGCCAGGTGCTGAGCCCTAGGGGGATGTTGCAGGCGACAGGAATCGGGGCTGGTGGGAGCAGGAAAGAGGGAAGGAGAGGGTCACTGCCCTGGACCCAGCCCCAGCCCTAGGGTCTGGTTCGACCTGCATGACCTTCAGGGCCTTTCACAGCACACGCGGACTTTAAAGAAAGAAGTCACTTTCTTCCCACTTGAAAGGGAATCACTTGTGTCGTTCCCACGCCTGGGCTTTCCTCGGCATCACCTTTACAGTTGTGGAGGAGTGTGGGGGGTCCTGAGGCCCTGGCTGACTGTGGTGGCTTTGGTACTCACTGCAAAGGCTGTGCCCGCAGCAAGCACCTTCCGCGCGCCGCGGCTCTGCGTCCTCTGACGGTTTCCTTAGGACCTCTGACGGATTCCTGGAAGCGGGACTTGCAGTTACAGGACATGTGGCATTAAGCTTGGAGAAAACACGGCCAGGGGCATCCCAGACACGGTGGCCGACATTGGTGAAGGCGGGGAGAGCTGGAGCTTTGCCAATCTGATGGGTGGAAAGAGCTGTTTTAATTATCACCGAGCATTTTTTCCTTCTGTGAATGGGTTATTCCAGTCCTTGTATGTGGACTTAATTTTTCTTGTGTGTGGTGTTTTAAGGGTTCTTTATACCGACTCAGTCGTCTCCAGTGTTGCAATGGGAAAGTTCTCAGCTGCACGCGGGAAGCGAGGTGGGGGGCGGGCAGGGGCGCATCTCGGAGGCAGTAAGGTCGCCGGCCCGGCGGGGAACAGACAGGTCGGGGCCGCCTCTGGGCAGGGGCCACCCGAGGACTCCGGGTGTCGGCGGCCGCGACCCGGGCGGGAACTGGAAGGGGTGTGCGTGCGGGACTCGGAACTCGCGGAACCGGCCGCCGGGAGGCGCCCAGACGCGGCTCCTCTGTCCGGCCGCGGCGGCCCCGGCCCCGCCCGCCCGCCCGTGGGGCATCCTGGGTGCGGGGCGGGGCGGGGGCGGCCTCTTTAAGCGGCGCGCGCGGCCGCGGGGACAGAGTGGCCGCCGGGTGCTGGAGGCTCCGCTGCGCCCGCGCCCCGCGCCCGCCGGCATGGCCGCTCTGCTGACGCCTGGCCCGCAGCCCGACGAGCAGGACTTCATCCAGGCCTACGAGGAGGTGCGCGAGAAGTACAAAGGTACGACCCCCCGCCCCGCTGCCGGGCCGGCCGCTCCTGACAGCCCAGCCGCCAGCACCTTGTTGTCCACGGTGGCGGTCCGATCGCCGGCCCGAGCGTGGCCACTCCGCCGGCCTCGTCCGCCTGGATCGCCCCCCACGGCCGCCAGTGCCTAGGGAAGGGACGGGCGCGCTCCGCTGAGCCCCGCGGCCATGCCCTTAATAGGGCATCGCGCGGCCTGGGTGGGTGGGGTGGGTCTCGGGCGGGTGGGGGCGCTCAGGGCTTGTCGGGGTCGGCTGTCTGGGCCAGGATTCGGTGTCTGTGGCCAGCAGACACATGGGTCGAGGCTGAACCATCCCCTGCCCTCCTTTGGGACACCTCTGCATGGGACAGGGGAGGCCGTGCCGCCTGGCAATGGGTCACATAGTTGCCGGCTCTCCCTCACCTCCCTAAACTGGTGAGGGCCTGGGCTGCCACCCTTCCTTGGCAGGGCACCCCCTACACACCCCTTCTCTGTTCCCTAGGGGACAGCTGTGGGCTAGGGGTCATGGTGGCCCCTCCTTCCTCACTAGGGGAGCATCAGAGTGGCCTGCCACCTGTTTGGTGCCTCCTGTTTGGTGCCTCGGCAGACCCCCTTGCCCTAGTCCACGCTCACAGGGAGCCCTGGACCTGCCCAGGCCTTGGCACCCCCTGCCATTCTTGCAACCCAGCTGCCTGGCTCGGCCTGGGTTGCCCAGCTCCAGGCGGTTGTGGACACAGCATTGGCTCTCCGCCTGCAGAGGCTTAGGGGCAAGGACTGAGCTGCTGGGGAAGGTCGTGGTGGGGGCCCCAGGCAGAACGATCAGAGCAGGCTCCAGCTCCACGTGGCTGGTTTTGCTGGCTCTGCCCCCAAGGGCAGCTCAGGGAGAGAGGTTCTGCTGGGGCCCCGTGGTGCCGCTCTCCACCACAGCCTTGCCCAGCTGGGTAGGTTTCATGGTGCCCTGAACTCATCTCCTCAGGCGTCCTCCATGGACGGCTCTGGGGCAGGGTGGATGTGCTGGCTGTGGTTCTCTTTGACAGTGCTGTGCCCAGCCCCTTTGCCTGTGTGACTAGTTCATCTGAGCGAGGGGAGACACTCCTGCACCCTGGGGAGGCCTTGAGGGGGCGGTCTGTTGCTCATGCTGTGTATGGCCAGCCCTGCTTGGA